GTTTTTTGGGGTGTTTTTTGTTTGTGTGCTTTTGTTTTTTTTTTTTTTTTTTTTTTTAACAGGAGTTAAAGAGAAACTAGAAAATGTTAGAAGCAGTTGAAAACTTAATCTGCTGCCTGAAAGTGTATTAAGTTAATGTAAATTGTGGAGAAAAGACAGATGAGTGCAAAGATAACCTTGGTCAGTGTCTAGTGGAAGGACCCTTTTTTAATTATGCAGTTAACGTAATGGCTTATTTTTTGCAATAATACACTAAACCTAAAATAACTGATAAAATCAACTAACAAGGGCATATTTATAAAGCAGTGAATGACTGCATGTGAATTTTACTTGCAAATCTTTTTTAATATACAGTGAAGGATTCACCACCAGGGAATGTTTGGTGAATGTCATACTTTTTAAATTTGCCCCAAGTGCACATTTTAGAAACAAATGGGAATTGTTTACCTTGAAGGCTCTGTATGTAATAGCGAATGTATATCGGTGTACTTCAGAGAAGTAGACATTTTCATTCTGCACTGCCAAGTTCATTGGGGCCACATTCCTGCTTTCCCCTTTTACAGCCCAGTGCACACAGTAGGTTTGAGACAGGGACACACAAAGTCATATACTTTCAGCTTATACTTCCAACTACAGCAGGACAGCTGGCAACCAAAAAATTGACGGGCAGGTTGGTCACCTTCAGGACTTTATTCTGGTAACATGTTAGCTGCAGGGGCTTTCCTGGTCCTGTGCCGTTGGCATTTGCCTCAGTGCTGGTCCTGTCTCTGAGCACTCACTCCATGAGAAGGCAGATCAGGCTAAGCACTGGGGGTGATACCTCATTGTTTTGACTTCTAAGTGCTTTTACATTTCCCCCTTTCCATTAATTTTACCACAGAAGGGGCTAGCATTGAGGGACTGAGCACCGATGTCATCCGCTGGGTGAAGTGTCATATGCACGCTATGTACTCTCTTTCCTGCCTTTCAGTATCAAGGTAGCATAGCCCCTTCTCCATGTCGTGCTCCAATCTCCAGGCTATTCCTACTGGCAATCATCTTCTTACTGTGCATCATTGCCAACTGGTTGCAACATGTCTGTATCTAGACACAGTGGGGATGGCCCCCCACAACGGGTGACCCCCCAGCTCACACTCCCTTTATAGGTTTCAGGGATGTTTGTTCTGTACCTTGTACAGATAATGATGGCTGTAATTTGGAATCTTGTTACTTAATGGAATAGGGTCCACTTCATCATCAGAGTCCTTCTTAGCTGTGATTTTTGAGGCGGAGTTCACTCAGGTGCTTGCTGGTGCTGACCGCAGAAGATTTAAGTGCATTCCTGTACCTTCCCCTGCCAATGGCCTTAGCAGTGGCTGGACCACCAGGCACAGCAACCATCTCTGATTGGTGTCCCCTCAGTCTCTCCCAGATAAGATTGCTTTTGAGAAATTAATATTTTGCTATTAGATCAGAGTTACAAGAGAATGTTTCAGCTCTTATTGATGTGCTACATACTACTCTGCATCTGGAAAATCAGCCTGTTCTCTCTAGTCTCGGGCCTTTCAGGGGTTTTCCTCTATGCGGATTGGAAGCACCCTGAGGGGTACCCCCCTAATTGTCTCCTGGATATGTTCTCACTTGGGAAGGATTTTGTTAAATAGTGGTTTATACCCACTGTGGATCTGCCATTGACCCACCTTAACAGGGAAACCAGTAGACCAATAGAGGGCATTCCTACGTTGAATGATTAAACTGACCAACAGCTAAAATCCTTAATTAAGACCTAGCTCTCGCTGGTGGGCCTTCCCCTTTGCTCTGACCTTGGAAAATCCAAAAGAGATCTCTCCAGTGTGGCTGTGAAGCCTTTCCTGATGGAACAGATGGAGCATATGTCCAAAGTCGTACGCTTCAGCTGTGATGTCCTGCTGGAAAATTCTAGACTTGATTCACATATGGGTCGGTGTCGCTATGCATCTGACGCTATGTCCAAGGGGCACCTGACTTGCTTGGTCTTTTAAGGGAAGCTATCTCTTTTGACCCACCCATGACATCATTAAGGAGTGTTCAGTTGCCTCAGCGTAAGAAGTCTAAGGAAAGTTTGCATGAGTCCCATCCCTCTCCTTTACCTACTACTGGAGTAGGCATGACTAGCTCCTCCTAAGCCTGGTTCTCTGTTTACTAACAAGGGCAGAAGCAAGAAAAGTTCTAAATCCTCAGCAGGAAAAGAAAAACCCTGTCTTTCCAAATGGGGGGTTGCATTTTTCTGGCATTCAGGTTTATGAACTGATCCTCACCTCTAGCTGCTCACTCTCTACCCTGCTGTGTCACCGCACAGATTAGCAGACCTACCTCTGATCTCTTGGACCTAACGATTCTTGTTCTAGCTCATGTGCCAGTTTTGCTTCCGTTTTGGCTTTTTTTGTGCACTGATACTGATTTTAGTGTGGCTTTATCAAAGTAATTGTGTATTTTTATCGGTTTAATATTGAGTTGACAAACATTTGCGCAATTATCTAAGGACTTACGAAATTAGAAGCACCATCTTTTTAAACCACAAAGCTGATTACTGTATATATCAGTTTTGTTTTGTAGTGTCAGTATTGAACTTATTCTCTCTAGAGAAGAGGGGTTTAAGAAAAAAAATGATCTCAATATCAAATTTTTAAATGGGGATGGTGGAATCTGTAATAAATGGTTTACTCTAAGGCCACCACCTGAGACAAGAGGAAAATGTAAGATTTAATCTCAGATTGCCTAGGGGATTCTTTACAGATTGCCTAGGGGGTTCCTTAGAGCAGTAAAGTTGTGGTAGTGGTATCGGCTGAGAGTATAGACACATTCACAAAAATTCTAAATGTCTTTCTCGGGCAACATAAACAGGTATTGGAATTTTTTGTGACCCACACACAGACCCACAAACGTTGAACTGCATGGACCTGAGTCTTTATTCAACCTTAACTGTGTAACTTTATGTAACTATGTTTTTACATGCTTCTAATACACTAATGGATATATTTTGTGTAAGCATATGAACTAGTTATGGAGAATTTGTTTGTTAAAGCTAAGGTCCTCTAAAGGTCAATTATGTATTTTGTTGATTTATACTATTACAAATTACTTCTGTGTCTAATATTTGTAGAGTTCCATTAACATTAAATCTGAAAGTGGATCAACTGTCCATATTGCCCCAAATGTGAATTACTCAGAAGATTTTGAAACTGATGAAGATGTGCATTCTGATCAGAGTGGTAAAGATAAACAACAGGTAATGCTATTCCGTTCATTTTTATTTCCTTTGGTTGAGGGGGTAAAATATCACTGCAGTTTACCACCTTGCAATAGCTGATTTTCAGAGGCAAAGTCTTTAATGTAGGTGATGTCCTATAATATTATGGGCAGATGTAATAAATCTGAACTTCAAATACCTGAGCTTGGGTTAAAGTGTGTTTGATAAACTGGCATAATGAAATAATAGGATTGTTGGGGATTTATTGTGGGACAGATTACAGTCCATGTACCCATTGCACTCCTGACCGCACGTCCAACAAAGTATCCTGGGTGCTCAGTAGTCGACGGATGGCCAACGTCAAAGTAATGCAGAAAAGAAATAGACACTGGCACTCTAATAATAAATCGATTACGTCTATTTATTGACGTACATCAAAAGCAAAATAACACACTTAGTGCGACGTTTCGGGGACACACAGGAACCCCTTCATCAGGCAAAACAAGTGAGATTATAAGTGAAACAGCCAAATATATATACACACCAGGTTAGGATTGTGGGACAGAGGACTTCTTCAAGTCTTCTAAGAATGTTTTAGCTCCTAAGAGGTTTGGACACTGTGGAAAGTAGAAAGGACACAGCACCATCTACTGGTTGTACACTTGTCATGCAGTCAAGGTTCAGGAGTAGCAGCAGGCCATTAACCCTTTCACTGCCACCGCCGTAAGGCTTACGGCGGAAACAAACGTGTTTCCGGCTGGCCAGCTCAGTATGCCTTACGTCGGTGGCATTTACAGTTAGCTCGCGACCATGAGCTTATAGCAGAACTCTTCCCCAGACTGTCCCCTTCAAATTAATAGCTGTCATCAGCGGCTCACAAGCCGCTGATGACCGCTATTAGCCAAAATATCGACCGCCCCCTCCGCTGCGGCCGGCCGCCGGCATCTGGAGTCTCTCATCTCTGCCTAGAGCCGCTCCAAGCAGGGATGAGAGACTACATGGATCCCCGCTGCTGTCCCCCGTTTGTAGGGTCCGTGGCAGCGGGGATCCGAAGTAAAATCGCCAGCGGGGGGTAGGGTCGGGGGTTAGTGAGCGACGGCTGGCTGCAATTCAGGATGGCCGAGCGGCATAGTGATCGGAGCCGCTGTCATCCTGTCAGTTTTTGGATGACAGCGGCTCTGTAGCGTGGCCGAGCGGGGGATCGTTAAATATCATTGATATTTAACGATCCCTCTGTGCAGAGCAAACACCGGAGTGATCGTCTGATCACTCCGGTGTTTGTAAATAACGGGACTATGTACTAGTACTATGTGTCCCCAGTTATGCATGAACAGGCTGTGATTTACATCACTTCCTGTTCATTCAAGAATTTATTAATGGGGAGTAGCACTCACTATAGAGGCTCCTCCCCATTCATAAAGTGGTGATAGTAAAAATATTTTACTATCAGTTTCTGAATGAATGGGAAGCCTCTGTACTGAGTGCTTCCCATTCATTGAGTGCTGGGGCTGCAGAAAAATTAATTGTTCTCAATTTCTATTTCAAAAGGGAAATGTCAGGGGTCTTTTTAGACCCCTAATATTTCACCGTAGCCCCCCCCCAATGTTAAAAAAAATTACAATTAAAAAATAAATAAAAATGTTTTAAAAAATAATAAAATTATTAAAAAATAAATTAAAAAATGTGTAAAAAAAAACTAATAACAAAAAGCACAACCCCTCCCTCCCCCCACATAACATACACATTTTGTGGTTTCGTCGTTAGAACGCATAGCAGTGCATGATTTGTTTTTATTTTTTTCTTTAAAAAAAACATTAAATTAACTATGGCAGCGCATGACAAAGCTTTGTGACACATTGCCATGCGTTGTGATACCTTGTGTTGTAATTAAATATACGCCTGTATCATTTTATCACAACACAAACACAGCGTAAAAACTATTTTTAACATAAGTCGCTTATTTACAGTTTTGCGTACCTTCATATTTTTTTTTAACCTTTTCGCAAAAAGGCGCAATTTCAAATGTGCAAATATATGTTATTTATTAACTCAATACAGTTTTATCTTCGATTTAGTCAGAAAATACGGATACTGATTTTAGTGTGTTTTTATCTATTGAATTGTGTATTTTTATCGGTTTAATATTAATTTGAGAAACATTTGCGCAATTATCGCAGGGCCTACAAATTTTAGTATCACCATCTTTTTATTCTACCAGGCCTGCGCTTTCAGAAAATATATGGTTTGGGGGGTCTTTTACAAACACTAGCAACGCAGCAGTTGAAAATCAAATCAATGGGAAAAATTGCAAAAATGGCGTGGCCAGTTGAATTGAAAAATGTTCCCGAGGGCTTGACAGGGAAAGGGTTAAAACTAAAAGATACCTATATGAGGGGAGGGAGCTACATGCGAAAAAACTAATCAAGATAATTTTTACACATTATCAGCAATATAAAATATACTATTTTCATTCAGTGTTCATTGGGGGTATTGGACTTCCAATTCTTCTATGATTAGGGACATCCAAAATCAGTCCAAAAAAGAGGGGCAGGAAGACCCTAATATTCATTCATATATTCAATACGAAAGGCCTTTTACAACTCTGTAATCTTTTGAGCATTCAATGCGATAAATTATCCTTTGGTTTGTTATAGTTGGTATGAAGTGAAATATGGGCAGTGCAGGAATGTAAGCAGATCTTTCTTTGTCAGAATTAAACTGGTTATATCAATTTATTCTTCCAGAATAAATTACTAGTTTTAATGTTGTATGTTTTGAACTCTGGCTCTCCAAAACAAAAAGGCAGGCAAGGGACTAGTAACCAACATTGCCTGTGCTCTTGCTGCAGCTGATCTTTTCCTCACTCCTGATTTACCTTGCCTACATCTGCACTGTCTCTTTGTGGGGATAGCCATCTTGGTAGAGACCGGGTGTGATTTATTTTAAAGAAGTAATCCAGAAATTTCCCTTGCAGTGGGGCTACACATGCACTGTAAGGGTTAAGTGCTCTTTTTTCTCTAGGGGATAGAATAAAGCAGATAAACCGTATTTGGCGGCGTATAAGGCGACTGGGTGTATAAGACGACCCCCTAATTTTCCACTTAAAACATAGGTTTTGGGCTATACTCGTCATATAAGACTACCCCACTTCCGAGGCAACACCATTTTTAAAAACATCATGGATGGATTGCGGTAATACTGTATGTACGGTAGCTTCGGCTACATGCAGTATACCGTGCTGAGCCAACGGTTGTTATGCCTCCACTTACTGCGCACTAACAGCATATAATACGCACACATGGTACACATGCGACACCTAATACGCACACACGGTACACATGCAACACCTAATACGCACACACGGTACACATGCGACACCTAATACGCACACGGCACACATGCGACACCTAATACGCACACGGCACACATGCGACACCTAATACGCACACGGCACACATACGACACCTAATACGCACACGGTACACATGCGACACCTAATACGCACACGGTACACATGCGACACCTAATACGAACACGGTACACATGTGACACCTAATACGCACACGGTACACATGCGGCACCTAATACGCATGCGTTTCACATACCACACAGTACAAGACATAATACACATACAACACAGTGCACACATTGTACACATACAACATATGGTGCACACTACTTACATTGGTTGTACATCTTTATTCACATCCACTATGAACAGCCCGGGGAGGAGGAGGAAGCTGAGACATGGGGGAGGTCCGCGCTCACCGGGACTACGGGGGACACCGTAACAGCCCTATTCATCCCCTCAGTCCAGTGAGCAGCCCGGGGAGGAGGCTGCGGTTCTTGGGCAGTGTCCCGGTAGTGTCCACCGCAAGGATCGGTGGAAGGTGGCGCATGCCGATGGCGTAGGCTGAGCGCGCCGCTCGTGCACGAGCATCGCCATGCTACTGAATAGCCACTGAAAGAGACCCGTCCCCAGCTCTCCCCGGCTCTCCCCGGCTCTCCCCAGACCGTTCCAGCCTGTTTTTGCTGGATATAGACCCCGGATTGCATCCTCTGGACCCCGGCCTGACCAGTCCATCTGGGAGGTGTATAGCCGACGGAGCCTCCCTACAAGAAAGCCGCATCTGTTGCAGCTCCCCCTCAAGTGTTCTCCAGCTACCTCAGCCACTGCTCCTAGTGTGGTTTCCCCAGCTGTGTTCGGCCATCGCGGATTTCCAGTCGGGATCTCCTAAAGACACACATCATTTTTCTTGAAAAGACCCCTCCAGCAGAGTTATAACCCCCACGGATGGGGGGAAAGGGAAAGAAGAAAGAGAAACAACCTATAATGGGGAATGGTCTGGAGCGGGGCAATAAAGGTGTGCAGGACAAAATGTTGCAGAATTCCCCCTTGCATCCCTAAACTCAAGCTAAGACAGCCATAAGAGGGGATGAAGAGACACATAGAGATGAGCTCCAGGAGTCAGCTAGATGCAGGAATATCCGTCTGCTGGAACAGGAGGGGATAGAGCAGGAGGACCTGGGAGCATACCTAAGATCGTTGCCGAAAAAAGAGGACATGGAGGGTTATATTGCAAGATTGGAAGCAACATATAAAGAGGATTTGAAGGTACTAAAAAGTGACATCTCAGACATAGGAGCCCGAGTAAATGGATTGGAAGAAAGCCGGGAAAATTATTCAATTAAATTGGACTTACAGCAACAAATGATTAATAAGCAAGCATCACTGATACAGGGCATGGCCTATAAAATAGATGAAATGGATAACAGGAGCAGGCGGAATAATACACGGATACGTGGTATACCAGAGTCGATAGAGTCGCCTGCCCTATATCCTGCAATAAAAAACATACTAAACAGTATAATGGACAGAACATTTGAGGCTGAATTGCTCATTGATGCAGTATATAGAGTGCCAGGCTTTATTAATGAGTCCCTAAGGCCTAGAGATGTGATTTGCCGGTTACACTATCAAACTGAAAGAGAAGCAATATTCTCAGCAATGAGAATTAAGAGATCAATAATGCATGAGG